TTTTTGATGGAGAAGTTTTAAGGTCTATGAGATAGATGTATCATGGTAATATTACAGTAAAATTACTCTCTCGAGGATACCTATATGCCCAATCATATAGACTCACGCAATATCTGAATGTTCTGGGGTAAGGTTAACAAGTGAGGCGTATGTGGTGAGTGTATATCGGGCCAACGGGCATTATTTCGCCAGCTCCGCACGATGCATCTGCAGTAAACTGGCCAGGCCTAGTTGTTCCAACGGTTTAGGACTGGATCCACATTGTTGGTGGTAGAGGAAGTGGTGTTAATATTTTGTAGATTGGTCTGATTGTTCTCGTCTGTGCTGCAAGTGGTGACTGTGTGTTGGGAGATGAGAGACTGGGTTGTCGCGTTGACATTACACTGGGACCGCAGATGTCCAATGATGTCTATCCGTGCCGATTGGAACATCGGCCGACCATGCAGGCGCAATGACAGGGGTTGGTTGCAGGTGTCATTGGTTGATAGCGTTTGAGTCTTGCAGGTCTCACTGTTTGCCTTAGCAGCAACTATTCGGTTGGCTTCAAAGAGAGCTATTTTATGATCGTCGATTTTGACCGAGGTCCCCCAGGCAACGGAGCTAATTTGCAGGTCGTAAAGTGCCCTTATAACGGCACTTTGTCCGTCTTGTTTGCGACAGTACCTGGCTACCTCGGCGTACAATAGGTCACTTGGGCAGGCTCTCGCTATCCATCCTCGAGATTTGCCTCCCCCGCGTCGCAGTTCCATTTGCCTCAGTACGTCGTTAAAAATAGGGTCGCCGGTCCTTTTCAGAATCTCGATTTCAAGGATGCTTTCCTTACACGTCACTTTCTATATTCTTCGGAGTCAGCTTGGGTGAAAGTGACTAAGCCTTCTCATTTAGAACAGTCGGAGACAGAGAGGATTACATCATCCTGACATTTCCCCTGAAGATGGTGTCTAAGCACATTATGTCTATCATTTCACTCTGTTTTCCGAATTCACACTGCGTTTCAGGAAGATGTCCTTGCTCCAGGTTTGCGTCTAGGCAGTGGAAGATCTTTTCTGCGGGGCTGAGAATGAAGCGGCCTCTTTGATTATCACATAGCTGCCGGTTTCCTTTATTCTCGTATATTCACATGATGGCGGCATTCCTGAAGACGTGGATGGTGTTACCTTAATACAGCACTGCCTGGAATAGCGAGGTAAGTTTCTGCATAAACAGTGAGCCATCATACTTGGGGAATTCAGCAGGTGGATTTCGTCGATCATGACAGTCAAACTGCCAATCACCGCCCTGAGGCGTGGCCAGAAGACCTGCGGACGCAAAAAATCATCGAATATGCAACGCGTTTACTCAGTTAAAGGAGTATGTTCTATTTAATCGCCTCCAATGTTTCTCGATGACATGGTAAGTTCACTCTATTTGGGGCAAATTTATGCTGGGCTTACATGAGTTGCTAGTCCCACTACTTGCCCTGATATCCCGTTCGCAGTCTACAAAGGAGAAGCATACTGAGGAACCAACGGAGTCATCAGCCCAAGATTTAAAAATATGACAGTCCGTATTTTTTTATTGCTGACTTGATTTCTCATTACCAACAAAGTGGAAGGGAGAAGTATTCTTGAGGCTAGTTGTTTCAAAAGCCTATGTCTTCTGTATTTTTGAATGATAAATAATGACTGTTTTCATATCCTGACAATTTAAGTGGAAATGTTTGCTAATAATTGACTCAACAAAAAGCAAACCCTAATTCTAAGATATTCCAAAATTCCTAAACCCTTATATATTTCTAAATACTACGAATATTAATAATATTTTACATGCCTAAATACGTACTATTTCCATCGAGAAATCTCTGGAATTACAATTAATGTACCACAGGCATAACCGGAATGATTCATTGGTACGAAAACATTTTGCAACGTCGTATCATCAGCAGCTTGTCGCTTTAAAACGGTTGACTAAATCATATTTATGGTCAAGAAAAACGTACGCACTTTTCTTACTAAGGACTTTCTTAAGAGTTACTATTCTGTTGACCAAAACAGCTCTCCAAGCACTTGCTCCTTTACGAAATTCTAGGGTACCTTGAGACAACTGGACCGAGTGGCAAAAGCGACCTTGCCTTTGAATTGTTTAGTCATGTAATTCACAAACGTCTTTACACTTAACGGTGTTTTTCCCTTTACCGTCGCGTTTTTAAGTGGCCCATTTTAACCATTAGACTGTGTTTTCAGCTCTGTGATAATGCCGTCGTCGTTTGGCCTTTCTTTACTTATTAAATTCAAGATTGAAAAGATTTTCATGAAAGGAATCACAGTTCTTCCTAGCAAGCGGACGTTTGTTTTCGGTTAATCCTTATCGTATCAGTACATTTATGCGGGGAAAAGATCAACAACAGCATATGCATAATAACGGAAATTTAGTAAAATTCATTTTTCCCGATTTGGGTAAGGAGAATATGGCAAGATAATTTGAGGCAAACAGTATTCATCTAATCAGATAATTTTGGTTAGTTTGGATGGGAGAGGATTAAAAAGAGACGGATATCCTTATATTTTGCCCATATTATGAAACGACAAGCAGCAATTGAAATGCCAACGTGAAGTGCTTTCAGGCAGTAAATCTTGCTGTTTGCGCTTAATTTAATCTTATTCTGGAAATAAAACGTTTCCGTTTCAGTTAACGGCACATTTCCCGGCACCATAAAATCTCTGGAAGGACATCCACACCGAAAATGTAAGAAGTTTACCATTTGGATCAGAAAAATGAAATAAAATACTCCATTTTGGTCTACGATGTTACCACAGTGGCCTGGGGTGAAAAAATCCATTATGTAATCCGAGGAGGCGGAGGTCCACATTCTGTCAATGTACAAATTTCTTTTCTGTTTTCTAACGTTCAAGATTGTGGGCAGTCCATCATATCGACTGCAGAAGGCAAGGATTTGCGTGATCCTGGTCCAGGATATAAATCGCAATGTATGCAAGTTGTCCATACAAGTCTAGATAATTGTAACGTTTACTTTGCTACGTGAACGTATGCATGACAGTCTCCAATTCCTGTAAAATTATCATGGGTAAATTAGTCTTCTAAAACATTCTAGCATTATCTCATAAATCTTGCCTGGATATTCGGTGACAAAATCCTCCTTCATCTGACAAACTGTTTCTGCGAACAGGTAGTGAAAGCTGTTTTACTCCTTCCTAATTAAAAGTAACTGGTAGAAATCGTTACCCTTAACTGATTTAGATGGCGTACGTTGTTTTCCTCGTGTCCTTCAACGCAAAAGGGAACTCATAAATTACTGTATGAATGATACTTCAATTAACCAACACTGTTCCTAATGCGAGGAAGTACATTCGCATGATGATTGCATTATATGATACAAGGAGGCAGAGGTCCATATTCTGTCAATTTACAAATTTTCCTCTGTTGAGCAGGTCTCAGTATTTTGAATAGTTCACTTAATTGACTGTAGAAAGTAAAAAGATGAAATCCGTCAGTGGCATCGATATGCGACTGGAAAAAGTCGCCCTCTTGTCCAAAATATAAATTTGAATGTAAATTACTTGCCTAGATAATTCTTGATAATTCCGACGTTTACATCGTTGCTTACGCATATGTTTAATGGTCCCCAAACCTGTCAAACTATCGTGCGGAAACGAAGTCTTTTAAAACTGCCCTGTAAAATTATCTCACGAATTTTGTCTGGATGTTCAGGGACATAAATGGCTTCCATTTGTCAAACAACTTTTGTAAACGCGTGATGAGGTTGTTTTGCTCCTATCAGATAAGTAAAAATCATCTCTTACGCAGCAATCGTTACTTTTACCGATTTAGATTGTAGGCGTATTATTGCTGTCTCCTCATAAGGAGTGGGAAACTGACAAATTTCAGCATGAATGTACATCCTACTAGTCAATACTTTTCCTTATGTAAGGAAGTATACTCGTTCTATGATCCCAAATATTTGTTGACTTCATATTTCTGGTTAACACTTGAGTCCATTATCCAAGTCAGGATCACAAATGACTGAAAAGACGAGGTAAGCGCCTTTCTGGGAGACATTTGCTAAATAACACAGCACGGTCGAGTAATCGATTGCCGAGCACTATTCAGGGATGCTCGTGTTTGGCATGATAACTGACTGGTCGCCCATATGCAGACCAATGGTAATTTGCTTGAAGTGCATTATTTATTTAGTTCATCTACGTGCTTCCCGGAGCAGCGTTTACTCGCCAGACCATAAGTAATAACGCTGCCTAAAGAGAGTCGAACGGTGCGTGGGGGAGTGGCGATCAGTACGTCGGTTTTCCCACTCTGAACTGAATAAATATGACTTAAGCAGCCACCTACTAATTACTGTGCCGCTTCATGCAAGGATTTGCTCCTCATCAAACTACAGGGTGTGATATAATCGCCCAGACTGGTTTGGAACTCAATTTAATCTCTCGTCTTCTCTCCTTATGCATGTTTAATTAGTAAAATCCTAACTAATCTTACTGCCGCATCTTGGAATTTGTTTTGCCACTGAATGACCGTTGACTTTTTGGCAAAAAACTCGTTTTTCGACCGCTCTTCTTGGTGCTCGATGATTACATTCGATTTTTCTATTTGAGCTAGAGGAGACGTTGTTAGCGCAAGAAAGAGTGCACCGGGTCGTGACTTTGTTTGATGATGTCTGTTGCCTTGTTTTTGTTTCCACCAAGCCAGGAAGTGGCGCAGACAGAAATTAATACTTTGCACCGATCCAGGTAATTTCAGGTTAGGAATCTTGTTTTCTGGTTCACTAAACTGGAAATCAAAGCGTCGCAAAAGTGCATACACGTAGACCATTTTGTCGTCTGTGCTTACTACCGATGCGGTTAGGATTGCATGCATTCTCACCCATGAGTGAAGCACATTTCCGTCTCAGACTGTAAAAATTGAGAGATACGGATAGGCGATTTGAGGAGAAATATAGGCTCACCGAAACTGATTTATTGGCATGCTGAAGTTTCAAAAATCCTGGTCGGCTTCGTTTTGTCAAAGCGTCAAATGCACTAAATCGACCAGAAACTGTAGTGGCATGTCGCGTTGGTCGGCCTTGTGCAAATCGATTTTTCCTTCTCTCGCTGTCTCGGTCTCACAGGGCATGGTTGGTATGGCGAAACATGTATTGAACTTCATCATCACTCATAGCCCTCTACGGGTTCTTAAAAACACAACGTTGAAGGCAAATTGTGCCTATTCCAAGCGCTCTTCGGCAACTACACCCAAAAGTGGCATCAGTGACCGGCAAAATTAGCTTGTTTCTCTTGGAGCAGTGATGCAGTCGGCAGTCTTTTAACCCCGGTCCACAAGTTGTTGTCTAGGGAACCATCTACAAGGCATAATAGGACGATCCAGTAAGATTATCATTACAAAAATCAGTCTGACTAAATCTTTTCGACAACTGAGCTGATTTATTGAATTTTAAGTGGGGATACTTAGATTATCAAAACTTGTTTTCTTACCTATTGACCTTTTACATTTTAAATGGCATTCCAAGAAGGCAAACAACTGTGCGTTCATCAAATTGATTCATCTAGATGACGTTTTGGGCGCTTTTTAAGATTTTTTGACCGCATTTTCTGTGATGAAGAGAAGAGGCGCAACTTCTTCAACGCGTGAGTGCTGCACATATTACTTTTGTTTTTAAAGGTGCCTCATTATCGTTCGAGCACTACCCATTCCTTTCGTGGTTTGACACGATGTTCTAAGAGGCGTGCTCTATTAGGTT